CATAGCGTCCACGGTTCACCAGCACTGAGATAAAATATAATCGGGTTTCTTTTATGTCGATCAACGATCAAAATATTATTTTAAAATGGTCGAAACGGTCGAAATTTTTCCGTTTCTAAGGAGAATGAAATGAATTATTGATTAAATCAATATTCCAATGCTTTGATGTGTTTCGAGGTATTTCGGAATGTTGAGTTGTTTCGAAATGTTTATATATGTTTCCACTGATGTTGTATAATGTTTTGAGGTGTTTCAAGATCTTTAAAAATACTTAGACCAATATTTTGAAATGTTTTGAAAATAAATCCCTAAATTTTTTATCCACTTGTATTTTGTTTCCGAAACATTTCTATTTCTTAGGTGACTGAAACAGTGCATCAAAACGATATTTTGATCCTTGATGTCGACAATGTGAGATGTTCTAATTAATGATTCTTCTTTATTTTCTTATTTCTCATTTTCCATTTTTCAAACTTAAAAGGTTAAGAACCCACTAGCTGCTGCTCCATTACTGAAGGTTTTTGAGTCAATTGAAAAACTGAGTAGTCCAAATTCATTTTGTAAACTAGCAACTTATTTGTCAGAAAATTGATTTATTCTTTACCTTAGCTTCATAATGTGTCATTTTGGAAAAGGTGCTACATTCTCTTGTCATTCTCACAACGTTGTCTCCCAAAGGACTCAATTGCATTCATTTGGTCTGTTTCTTTTATTTTAGCTATTGGAGACTATTGTAAAGAACTGTGGGGACATCGTCCATATGCATGTAGCTGAGAAAGACGTGCTCCATGAGATGGTGAGGATAGTGAAGAAGAAGGTCGGCATACTACTCGAACATTTGGTTTCTCCATTTTGTCATGTTTTTTAATTTGTCTCTCGAGTTTGAAAACTGTTTCTCACTTTTCCTTTTACACAACTGTAGCCTGACTTTCATGTCAAAGAGAAGATATTGATTCTCATAGATACTTGGCAAGAAGCTTTTGGAGGACCAAGGGCAAGATATCCCCAATTCTTTGCGGCATACCAGGAGTTGTTGGTAAGTTGTGTATGGAGGATTTTATTGTATTGAATACCGAATTTGAGGGAGTGATTAAATAAAAAGTTGGATGCCCTAACAAAGCCATCATCGTATCTGTTGTTTCCCCAGTATGACTTTGTATTTTTGTGTTTCTGCTTTTTGTATGAGCTGTTCTGTTTACCATGTTATGTCTTTCTCTTCTCTTAATTTATCTGCTTCCTTGTTACAGCGTATTGGGGCAGTATTCCCTCAGAGATCAGAGAGCTCTGCACCAGTGTTTACACCACCACAAACAAATGCTCTGACGACTTACCCACAAAATCTGCGCAACCCAGAATCTCGAGATGAAGCAGCTGAGTCTTCTGCAGAGCCCGAGTTTCCAACCCTTAGGTAAATTGTCAAGCTTCTTTTTGCTTCAAGAGAATGATGAGGTCAAAAGTGGAATTGAGTAATAAAGCTTTTTTTGCTATTTTTTAACTGGTGGCTCAATCCTTTTTGTATTTGGACAATGCAAAACTACTATCAAATTTTCTTGAGCAATGTCAAAAGAATATGTCTAATCATGGCACCTTAGTGAATTTTCTTAGACCAATTCGAATTTGCCTATCCTCCGCAGTTATGCTGTCTAGATAATAGAAATAAACCTATTTAAAAGGAAGTGGGTCATGATGTAGCCCCCATGTGATAAAAAAATCTGTAAGTTTTGATGGTGGATGGACATGTTTAAAACAGATCACGGCTAGAACCTGCAGAAAATCTGGATATCAGCAAAGAAAGGCGAGAAATATAGATCCCGGCAAAGTAAAGCTGAAAGTTATTGATTTCCAGCAAAAACCTGCTCGACTTATGAGCTATAGTGTTCCAACTACCAACTAAACCTGAAGAGGAGAGAAACAAAGAAATTTCAACAATTTAAATTTTCTGAACAATCTTTAGCTCATTTATAGGATTCCAGTCATGTTATAGCCACATGAAATTCTTGGTGACCAAGTAAAACTGGGGCCACATTTGTCATGTGTGACAACTTCACATCAAATGGAGATAGTTAGTCTTGACTAAATACTTGGATCCTACACAAATTTCCAATAATTTCACCCATGACACTAGGATGCAAACAACCTTTACATTAGCTAAATGAAACAAAAGCAGTACACTTCTCTCTTTGTTCTTAGTTCCACCTGCGCATGGTTTCCACCGTAGCTGCACCTTGATCTGGTTCACATGAGGTCAGCATGCAAGAAATAAATCGTTGAGTAGGGACAAGAAAACTCTTCTATATGCAAAAGAATGCAAAGGATTTAGAGCCCAGACTATTTATACACCATCTTAAATGATCACAGAGGATCATATTTCCTCTGGTCGTTTAACTTCTTGGTGATATATGCAAAGAGAGAGTCGTGATGGGCATGGGATTTATTCAATTTGAATTTGCTGGAAGATAACCATCTTCTGTCATGCAGGATAAATAGTACAAATGCACCCATGTCCAACAAGGACTTCTAGCCTGCGCCTTCCTTTTGGGGTTGGCGGGAAATTCCTCTCAAGCTACAACTGATAGCAGATAGTAGCTGATAACCAACTTTCATTCTGTTGAATTGGATTATAATCAATTTGCTGTGTGTTGAACTGGATGATGACCAAACCTCACTTTGTTTTATGAATGATGACCAATTCAATTCTTGTCATCTTTAACCGTTGAAGCAGCTTGTTTTGCAGGCATCATTCTGCCTTATAGTGCCTTGGAAGTTTCGTATATTTCATTGGTTAGCTTATCAGAAACATTTTTTAAAAAGCATTTCACCGACAGGCACTGAGGGGGCACATTTCTTGAACACCCAACATTTACCCATCAGCGACTCAAGTGAGGCAAAGCATTTCCAAATATATATGTTTATGTTTGAATAGGCATCTGTACATGTTCACAGAGTGCCTAATCCTTTCCTTCCAAATTCACCCCCACAAGCAAGGTGTTCTTAGTCCTTTTCTCCTTGTGCTAATTATACTATCCCTCCAGTTATCCAAAGTTCCATCAATAACAGTTACATGTCTGAAAGGATACTCTTTTTGTGAAGCTCCTCTATCTAACTAAATAGGGACACAATTAGAGGATATATTCGGGGAGTACATTGGGCAACAACTGGTGGAAAATAGGGAGATCAGATATCGGTCCACTGTTGAACATGTAATCTTATTAGGGCATCAACTTCTGGATGACACTTATGGACTGTTACCCCATTAGTAGTTGACTTTGTGAGCATGTGCAATGTGTGCTCGTACCCCCAATAAACTCTTCTTAGGTAACTCATGGTCTTGGTCCTTTGTGCTTCATTCTATTGTTTCTTGTTATGTTATACTTTTTTGCTTTGAGCCTTGGACAAAATAGCTAATGTTGCATTTCCTGTTATGATGTGCACGGTGATATACAGCTTTCTGCCGTAGTGAATATCTAGCACATCTTTCTTCAGGTTTTATATTTCTACTAGAGGCTGACCATTTTCCATTTTCAATCACTTTGTTTTTGCCAGCTTGACAGAAATTCAAAATGCACGTGGTATTATGGATGTCCTTGCTGAAATGCTGAATGCATTGGATCCAGTGAACAAAGAGGTGCATTTCTTTATTTGAATTAAAATCTTGATGTAGTGAGGTACCTTGGTTAGGTAACAGTTTATAATCCATTCCAAATCTTTATTAATTTTTGAGGAACAGACTATTTTCTATGTTGGATACTAAATAACGCCAGTTCTGTGTATTTATTGTCATTTTGTTGAATATTCATTTAATTGCTGGGATAGAGGTATATGTATCTGTATGATATAGATACATATACCTCAATGAGTAATATTGATGTACATGGAATAAAGAAGAGGATCAGGGACTTTCTTGAGAGAAAAATCCATCGTCCTTGTAAACAAACTACATCTGTTCCTGTCTTGTAAATCAAATACTTGCGAGCAAATTTAGTTTTTGTTAGAAAGATAAATAGAATTTTTAGTCACTCTGTTACTTAGTTCCTTTGGAGTCTCCCAAGATTACCAATCAATCTGAGGATTGATGTAATTGGTAAGACATGGTCTCAAAATATGTGCAAAACTAGTAGTTTTCCGCCTAGAATTTCTTAGAATTCTATTCCCTTAGTTATTGGGTTGATAATTTGATAAACCGACTTATGCATAGTCTTTTCCCACACAAAATTTTGAGCATACTTCTCTTTACGACTGAGCATCCCTTTGCCTTGTTGGTTGGCAGGGTATTAGACAGGAGGTTATTGTTGACTTGGTAGAACAGTGCCGGAACTACAAGCAAAGAGTGGTACACCTTGTTAACTCGACTTCGTAAGGCCTTGTGTTACTTTTCCACTACCTACTATCCACCATTGTTTAATAACGTTGAATGCTTCTCTCGATATTATTTGTTACTTTCATTTTATTTTGCTGGATAAGAAATAATTTTTTTTTTTTTGCCAAAAATATAGAGCAATGAAGTGAGGCAAAGTGTTGGACTAGTCGTCCTTGTACCGAGAACTAGAAATGAAGGAATTGGGAAATTTCTAGACCTGAGCCTGACTATCAAGGTGGTGGCCTCGCAAGTGGCTAATGTATAAGTGCTAGTTTTGGGAAGGATATATGAGCAGTTAATTATACTAATCCAAGTATTCTTTACAGTGGTGATTAGATTTCAGATCTGTGGTGAACTGTTTGCTCCTAAAGGCGGAGTTAACTTGGCAATAGAGAATTTAATTGAGCATAAAAATTAAGGTTTTTAAAATCGGGATCCTACCTTGGATTGTTGTGGTGTGGTGTAAGCTCAGGATCGTAGGATTGGATCAAGGATTGTAAGAGCTGGATCACAATTTTAATAACCATGATAAAAATCATTTCTCAGACTGAAAATTGAAGATTAATGTGGAAGAAAGATTCGAGTTTGGGTGTGTGATATTTTCAGTTGTTTGCTCATTTGCATGAGAGCGAATAATAATGGAATGGATCGGTATTCAGTTAGAAGGGCAGTCCAATGTAAAGCAGCTTAGGCAGCCTCTTAGGGCCCCTATATTTTTAATTATTATTTATAAACATAATTGGACTGCCCATTTTTTTATATGATTGAGACATAATTTGAAAGCAAAAGTTTTTTCATTTTGTTTTTGCATACTTACAAAGGTGAGAACAATTTTTTTCGGAGGGAGACCTTTTTTTATTTTTAATCACATTCAAGACAGTTGCGATTGGTGGTTTCTCTTACTTGTTCAGGGATGAATCGTTGCTTTGTCAAGGACTTGCATTAAATGATGACTTGCAACGTTTACTAGCCAAGCATGAAGCAATTGCATCAGGAACTTATGTTAAGATGGAGAAACCCAAGCATGAACCTGTTCGAGCCCTGGTAGCTGTTGATGCACCTCTAATTGATACTGGAGGAGACAGCAAACAGTCTGACAGCGGGTAATTAAGTTCACTTGAATACACTCTATCTTTGCATCATATTAAGTCCTCAATAGGGGGTAATCGTGGATTTCTATTGAAATTGTCTGCTTAAATCTATTTAAGCCCTCAATTTGCATGTCATGGTGTGAATTTATGTTGACCATTTAAGTTTTATAATTCTACTTTGTCCAAGCCCTACTAAAAGCCATGATATGGAGTTTTGCGGTACAAAATCTCATGCAACAATTAGGAGTCCTTTTGCACTTGGAATTTCCATGTACCTGACCTCAAATGAACTTTTTTTTGGAGTTATGTAATGTTGTCAAGGGTTTTTCGAATACCTTTATTTAGGCACAAACCATATTTTGTCCGAAAAGCAACAGCATGTTCTTTTTTGTGAAAGTGATCTATATGTATGTTAGCCAATAACTAATATAAGTTTACTTGTGCAAATACATTCTGCTATGCATGCAATTAAGCTGGGAGGAAAAGAACAAACTTGGACAAAGGAAAAAACAGAAAGCAAAACTCAATACAAATGCTACTTTAAAAACCAAAAAGCGGCAAAGTGGATCAAAAAAGCATTACCATTTGGTATCTTTTGAGCAAGGAACTAAGTTTAGTTTCGAAACTGCCAACTTGATATTAACCAACAAAAGCATTCCTCATATTAACCATTTTTTCCTTCTCCAACTTGATATTATCTAATATAAATAGATGTTAAGACAATAGACATTTTCAATTATTCAATTATTATGCTTATCTATATTAACAAAGAGGTTTTAATTTATGTTTCAATCTCTTTCCACGTGTTTCCAAATATTTATCTGTTTCAATTGTGTTTTAGAAACATTTTCATTTCCGAGCTGATCGAAACTAAATAATGAAACACATTTTTGATCCACGCTTTTGAGAAGCAAGATTTTTTTGTATAGCCTTTTTGATTTAGCATGTGAGCAAATTTTGTATTAATTAGAAAGAGGTGTCCAAATGTGGGGTTTCACCTTAATTTTTATGCATGGTTAAAGTTGAGTTTAATATGTGAGTCGTGGATTTTTTTATTTTCTTTAAACGTGTTGTTTCCCATTGAGTGGCAATAGTGACGTGTCTTTCAAATTGTTTTGATTGGAATCTTCACGAGACGCAGAGTGTTCTTGATGATGTATTTTCTGGTTGTTCTGGCATGTTTTATTTTGAGTTTTATTTATTTATATAAAGATTCTTTTGGAGGCAGTTCTACTTCCAGTGTAGGTGCAGGGACACAGTTATCACTTCCTGCTCCTCCAGCAAGTAATGGTTTTTCAACAACTCCAGCAAAGGTCAACGTTAAAATGGACCTTTTGAGTGGAGATGACTTTAATTCACCTACAGCTGATAATTCTCTGGCTCTTGTTCCTGTGGGAGAACCTCAGCCAACCACTCCTGTGCCTCCGCAGAATGCTCTAGCTCTCTTGGACATGTTTTTTCAAATTGACAATACCCAATCAACCAATCCAGTAAGGCAAACACGTCCATTGTCACCACAAGTCCACCGGCAGCAGAACTTTCAGACTCCACAACCCTCATTATTAGATGGAAGTGCCCCAACTATGATGTATCCCCAACACGAGCAGTCTTTATATGCACAAGGCTCTCATCCTGCCTGGAATGGCCAGGTTACCCAGCAACAGCAGCCACCTTCGCCAGTCTATGGTGCATTGCTAACTAATTCTCTCTTCAATTTATCATTTCAGTGAAATACAATGCTAGGAAATCATTGACTACACCTCTGTTCTGACATATGACTGGCAGTCAACAAACTGTCTAGGTCCTCTCATCTTACTTGGAATGATTAGTCATTCATGTGAAAATGCTGGGATAACTATCTTATAATTTACATTAGACTTTGACCCAAAAGATTTGCAGTTATTTAGCTAGTTGTCATGGGTCTGCACCAAAAACGTAGTGAGGGATATGTGATATTCTTTGTGCCATAACTTAAAAATACATTTTCTTATGTTGACAGGTGCTCAAAGTAGTGGGTCTCTACCACCCCCACCCTGGGAAGCTCAGCTGCCAGACAATAACCAATTTGCAGGTCCTCAACAGCCTCAGCAAATGCAAGTTACACAGGTGGCTGTCTCTCAGTCCCAGCAATTGTCGACTGGCATGTATCCTCAGGGACCGCAACCTATTGGGAACGACCGGGTTGGGGGTATGTACATTCAACCTATTACAAGTGGCCATCTCTCTGCAGTCAATAACCAGGTTTTGCAGAGCAATCAGTTTGTTGGTGCATTTCCTCAACAAATTCAAGGTCAGTCAATAGGTATGGTTCCACAGCAAATGCAGCCAGGCCAGATGTCTTTTATGTATCCTCAACAAATGTATAGCCACCAAATAGGTGCAAGCTATGGCTATGGCTATGGCTATGGCTATGGCTATGGCCAGCAACAAAATGCTCAGTTCCTTGATCAGAGAATGTCTGGGCTATCAGTGAGGGATGATGGTGTCTTGAGGAATTTGGGCTACACGGTTTCTACTTCATCCTATGTGCCATCCGGAAAGCCCTCAAAGCCAGAGGACAAGCTGTTTGGAGACCTTGTTGACATCTCAAAATTTAAGCCGGCAAAAACTACTCCTGGCAGAGCTGGGAGCATGTGAAAGACCGGTTTTCGTTTTTTTTTTTTTTTTGGTTTACTAACTTGCTTGTTCCATTTTTTATACATGAATTTCTTCACTTTTGGGTCTTCCGAGTTGCTTTTTTTTTTTGGGCATTGAAACTTATGAATATATGTACAGTCCTAGTAGAAGAAAACCAAAAAAAGAAAAAAAAAATCTAAAGAAGATGGTTTTTTCTTAATAGGGTGTATTCTATTGGATTTTGACTTTTACATTGATGGGAGAAATACTGGAAGGGGTGTATATTGATGGTTTTGTGTTTTAATATTATGTCTCTCCGGCAGGATCAACAATGAGAATACCCCAGCAAGTGCAGCCTCGAATACTAGCATGATGATCAGAACTGAAGGAACTGAACTAGTGCCAATTCCTCGTCCAGAAGCAACTAGCTTTGTTATGTGTGCGTACAGAATCTTGCACAATATAAACACGAGAACAGATCTCTTTCGTGGTGAACTCGAGTCAGTCAATCGAATGGTCAATCTTGCTGCTTGGAACAGACTGTGAGGTCCGGTGGTGGCTTGGAACGGTAATGAGTGACTTTCGTGGATCAACGGAGCGGTCCAGTAAGACTGAGGGAGGTTCCTGAAATAGAGAAAAATGAGTTAGGAGGGCGCCAGAGTGTTTTTCGGCGTATCCCCTCCGACGATCAAATCAGTTCTTTGAGAGAGGGGAAGGAGAAAATACTGTATATTTCTTTGAGAAAAAGTCTGTTGCATATCGTCTTGCCTTTTATGAGGAGTACTTATACCTCAAAAACTCATGATTGTTGTCAGTGTGGTCAGTAGGTGATCATTAGATACGGGCAACGTGCGCACTGATTCCTATGAGGAATGTCTTCTCTTTTAACTGTTCGGGACTCCGAGCAACCAACGCTTCGTCATCGGCCTGCTGAATGTTTAATGAGCTTCTCTCGGCAAAGATGTAATAAATGCTCAGTCATATGAACATTTATTACCTTTCACTTCCGAGCTTTCCTGCATTAAATGATATCTCATCAAGGGAATGGTACACTAAATGCTTGCTTTCCCAAGTCGTGTGTCAGCAAGGGCATCTCGGTCTTTTTGTCTTTGATTTGACACAATATGTCACGCGCCCATTTCCCATTGGTTGTGTCTTCTGCCTTTTCGTGTCTTCTGACACTAATTGTGTAAGACGAGATTATGATGGCTAACTTAACCTAGTCTAGGCTAGTGACCTGTATATCAATAGTCTCTGCAAGAGTAAAAAACGCCAACCTGGACGGGTACATCTCGGTACCGAGGGAGTGGTACCTATAGGGACCGATGTACCCCATATCCGACCGAGAGATACGTTTCGGTACGTAACGTACTGGGTGTCATTGATCCCTATAAATAGTACCTCGGGGGGGAAGAGAGACTTGTGAACCGACGAGTACGTGTCGTGATCACAGTAACAAGAATATACTGATGTCGAGGACACGTGTCTTCATCTTGGAGTATTTGGAAATGTCCTATCAACTGTCCCCCAACCTTCGATCTCCTGACACTGAGGACACGCATCGTAAGGAGACGAAGGGTTCTGCAACTACCCCAACTACTTCATCATTGCCTCTAACCGCTTTCCCCTGCTTAGGAGGTCGTATTCATTAAATGCGCCTCTTTGTGCTTCGTGCCCAAATGATGGGGATGGGTACTATATAAATAGGCTTCCTCTCTCCCTCTCTCATTTCGCCATTTCGAACTTCTTCAGATAGCCCTTGCCTGAAATCTCGCTGGAGATCCTTTTCCTTTCGTTGTCTACTGCCCAATCTTTCACCGGAGTCTCGAGGCCAACAAACCCTTTCTTGCTTCTGAACATCCTAGGGGAAGGAATCACTTCAAGTTTTCAAGAAAAACTTCTGTTTACGTTCTGGTGAGTCCTCGTATCTTCCCTCTTTTCGCCTTTCTGTCTCTTCTTTTCTTCTTCTCGTTGTTTTTATTTTCTTTTGATTTTCCAATAATCGGAGGTGTTTCTGGTTGCCATTCTGTGACCAAACCTTGGGAAGCCTCCTCGGGGATCTTCGTGGAAAAACCCCTCCCTTCTTCCTCAATTTTCATCATTTTTGGAGATGCCCAGACGTCGCCCTGCCCCTGAGAATCCTTAGGCTAGTTTCTCGAGGCCAGGGAAGTACAAAGTGAAGGGGGACGAGCAGATCAATAGGTTTAGGGTCCAGTATCGCATCACCCCATATGTAGACATAGAGAATTATAACTCGGCTGTGCATTCTCGTACCCTTGGGGCTGAAGATGAGATGCCCTTTTATACCAAAACCATCATAGAGGGCGGAATTAGGTTCCCTTTGCCCCCTCTAGTCCTCCAGTTTCTCTCCCATTTCCACCTCTTCCTCGGGCAATGTTGCCTCAATGTCTTCAAGATAATAATGGGAGTCTTAGAGCTCAACAAGAGTCTCGAGGTAAATGTTGAGTTGAACGATATCCTCTTTTGCTACTCCCTCTTGAGGGTCATGCCTCAGCAAAACTTCTACCTCAAAGTCAGGGACCCATCCATGTACCTCGTAACTCACCTTCCTGACTCGGACAAGGGGTACAAGGATGACCTATTGATCTTCAAGGGGTCCTGACAGAGGGGTGCCAGTCCCGAAAATGACAGTTTGTTATGCCCTTTGGAATGGAGAACGACAAGTACATCGGTTTTTTCGAGTCATTATTTTGTTCTTGAAATTTTTTAGAAGTGTTCATAACTCCCTCTCCTCTTTTTTTTTTTTTTTTTGTGTAGATGTCTCTGCTCGGGAAACAGCTCCTCCACTTCGGTCCTTGGTAAACTTTACCGACCTCGTCACTGTTTGGAGATTTGTTGGCGATGACGGGTTCGGCTGGGCTACTCACATTCTTCTGAACTACACTCTCGGATATAAAAAATTCTCGCAGCTTTCCCAACCTTTCGAGTCTTCGCGGTGGCCTGAACTCTTCGATCAGGCTGCGCAACAAGAGGTCAAGGAGAATTTGGAGGAAGATCGTGACCGAGCTACAGAGGCCGAAGTAGAGGGTGTTGTTGAAGTTGAGGAGTTCGGGGCCAGGGAGACTTTTGTTCCTTCGTACGTCGAAGTGGGGACTTCAGGGAGAGATTCGTGGCCTGATTTCCAAATCCTGCAGTCCCTAGATGAGGAGGACGCCCTTGAGGTAGCTATGTCGAACACGCCTCGCATAGATCTGGGGTTCTTGAGGCAGAGGCAAGCCCTCGCTGCCGGGAGGGGACAAGGATCAACCAACGGAGCCCCATCTACAGGGACCAGCACCACCCCACCTTCAAGAGCCGTTGGTCGAGGTCAAGTGCGTGACCGAGATCCTCAGGTAGAGGAGGAGAGAAGGGTCAAACAAAGGCACGACGGCCTTGACAGGGGATCCAAGGCCCCCTCCGCTCAGCAGCAAAGCGGGAGAGGCCGTGAGTTACCTCCTCCTCCCCAACAGCAACAACAACAGCAACAGCAGTAGAGGCAGACTCCACCTCCCCCTCCACAGACGGTGGAAGCCGCAGAGTGGAACCCTTGGGCCACTGATCACATGAATCGAGTGATCAGGGTTGATGACTCCATTTTGCAGGACCCCCATGTTGCCAACGCAGTGGGTGAAACGCTGCACTTCGAGGCTGACATCAACGAATGCGTTGTTTTGTTCTATCATTTAGAATTTCCTGGTGGTAAGTTCATCTTCGCTTCAGTCTTTTCTAGCTGTGTTACTTTTTATTGACAAACCCTTTCCTTTGTAGGCCACCCAACAGATTTTCATAATCGCTGCGCGATATCATGTAGCTAGGATGGACCTCCAGCTGGTTCAAGAGCAGAAGGAAGAGGCCGAGGGAGCCCTGGCTAGTGCCAAGGAGGATATAGCTGCCAGAGATTCCACTCTCGCGGGACAGGCTGCTCAGATTGAACAACTCCTCAAGGACGGCGAATTGGTGAAGGTCGGCACTGAAAAACTAAGTGCTGCCTTGACCGATGCTGAGAGGAGGATTACAGAGTAGACGCAGCGGCTCTCTGCGGCAGAGGAGAGGGCTGTCGGTTCAGAGGAGAGCTGTCTGGCTCTGACCTAGGAGTTGGACAGGATCAGAGCTGAGGCAGAGAACAGGAAGTCCGAGGAACAACTCCGAGAGGAGTTTGCCGACGACGTGCTACCTGTTCTTGAGGAAAATAGCAAGGAGTTTTTTAAGAAGGGGTGGGACGAGGTGCTCTGGTCTGCTGGGATCCTTCCAGACTCCCCGCTCTTCCAGATGCACAAATACATGCCATCGGTGGAGATGGAGCAGGCCGAGGCAGAGATTGCTGCCGAGGGTGCGACTCCAACGCCGATGCAAGTTTCAGCAGATCCGCCCGAGGCGGTAATTTTGAATTTATCTGATGAGGTTCTGCCGGACCAAGCCCCTGACCATAATATCCCTCAGACTCTCCCTATTGCCGATTCACTCCCAGCTCTGCCTGCTCCCGAAGCTGCTCAACCCTTTTGCGTTGATTCGCCCTGCAACGATGTGTTGGAGATACCTGGGGCCAGATGAAGATTTTTTTTTTTTTAACTGTACTCCTTTTCTTATTTTTGTAGCTCTTGGGGACGCAAAGCCCCTCCTTTGAAATGAAGTTTTTTTATTTGTTCTTGCATTTTCTTTCATGCATCCTCTTCTCTTTTTTTCTTTTTAATGACCTTGATATCCCCGACACCTGGGGAGTTATTTTGTCGGTCCGCCCGATTGGTTTAACTTCATCATTGCTAGGGATCGTACGCATCCGCGGGGGCTTGCCCATCCTGAAAGTTTATTCGTACTTTTTATTTCGAGGCATGAGTCTTTGAACTCTACATCCAGGGCCTTACCCTCTCAGGGGGCTTTCCCCAGTTTTTCCTTCGGGGGCAGAAGTCCTTAAACTCTGTCCCCAGGGCCTTACCCTTCCAAGAGGCTTGCTCCTGTTTTTCCTTCGGGGGCAGGAGTCCTTGAACTCCGTCCCCAGGGCCTTACCCTTCCAGGAGGCTTGC